TTAAACCTGTTTTTGTTGTAACCTATACTGTCATCAGTAGACAAGTTTGTACAGACAAGTTTACAGTAGTTTTATTCCTACTATTACTCTGATGAAATTTAGGCATGCTTTAGCACTTGCCAATGATTGAAAATCCCCGAACTAATAATAGCAGATGAGTGTGTTTACTTGCAGGTTGAGGAAACGACATCATCCTGCAGAAGGTAGCCTCATCGAATTCATCAGGATTATTGATCTTGATCAGTCGACATCTCTTCAGGTGACGAGTAAGATGCTGAGGTTGAGGATGGAAAAGTCCAGATCGAAGCTGAACCTGAGGGTATCCTTCCACTCCTTGATGACAATTTTGAGTAAGATCACGTAATGGAAAGAGATGCGGACAATGAAGTCATAAATTATGATGTCTGGCTCAGTGAGGACTCTGGATATTACTCACTAAATGAGGATGAGAGATCTAATTTTGGTCTTCTCTCATACAGCAGTTAGCATGAGACATTTTTTGGCAGGGTTATGAGATTGCTGTGACCATCTTGTCGATGCTCCACATGTACTTGTTCTACTTGCAACATGTAACATGTAAAGGATAATGGGCAACATGTTCTACACCAAGAACCTTCAGTCACTCAGAGGTTGGAAGAGGCTGCTCCCTCAACCTCAGGCATCAGCACCACCACAAAGAGGAACAGGGAAGAGAGCTGTCCTGAGCAGGTAAATAGGTGTGAAAAAATATAGAGAGCTGATGAACAACCCGAGAAGTCTCTAACCATCGACTTCAGGGCTCAGCTCTTCAGCCAGGAGAAATGTGGACAGGAACTACTAGGAGTCAGCATTCTCCACATGAGGCATCAGCTTCCATAGGAATGGAAATGGAAAGTCATAGCGAGTCAGCTCCTTTAACTTTACGCTTAAACTCCACTTTTAGTCCTCACAGAAGACTCTGCAAGATGTCTTTTGGGCGCTCATTGTGGGACAATGACAGGAACTCCTGTTGGTACCTGACAACGCCGTTTACTGCAGGATACAGAAACTATGACACCTTTGTCTGTGAAGGTATAGTTTAAAATTTGGTAGCCTTAGCTTCTGGCAGGGCTAGTATAAATTTGGTAGCCTTATGTATGGCAGAGCTATTAAAGCACTTGTTAGTGACTTGCACCTGGGGTTTTCTGTACATATCTGAGAGTTGGATTGTTTAAAACTGATGCAGAAAATGTTACTGACTGTAAGGCAAAAGTGAAGTATATTAGAAGAATCCTGATGGATTTTCATTTGTTTTATTTTTTGCTGAGTGATGCTTGATGGTAGCAGCAGACAGAAATACAAGTGCTTTTTTGTATAGTTTATTAAATTACTCTTTGTATTTAAGGAGTGGGCAGCCACCAATCTAACGCCCGGTGTGTGTAGGGACAGTACCTTGCTCAGGTACCTCAGGGTAGCCATTCGGTAGATTTGAACCCCGGACCTTCCGATCATGGGACAAATTGGGGCGATCATGGCTCAAGAGTTGGGAGTTTGCCTTGTAATCGGAAGGTTGCTGGTTTGAGCCCCAGCTTGGACAGTCTCGGTCGTTGTGTCCTTGGGCAAGACACGTCACCCGTTGCCTACTGGTGGTGTTCAGAGGGCCCGGTGGCGCCAGTGTCCGGCAGCCTCGCCTCTGTCAGTGTGCCCCAGGGTGGTTGCCATCACCAGTGTGTGAATGTGTGTGTGAGTGGGTGGATGACTGGTTGTGTAAAGCACTTTGGGCCCCCTTAGGGACTAGAAAAGCGCTATACAAATACAGACCATTTACCAAACGATCTACCTGCTGAGCTGTTGCCTCCTAGTGGTGCTTGTTTTGCGCCTTTAGATGATCACACAAAGAAAGCAGCAGTGCAGAAGAATGAGTCTCAGTTTACAGCAGTTGTGACTGATGATAATTGAGGCAAAGCATTTTGTGTTTATTTATAGCTTGCATGTGCACAAATAAGTACTGGAATAACAAGCAGCTGCTTTTCCTGTTTAATTAATTTTCAAGATTAATTAAGAGAAATGAACTCTGCAATACAATACCATGAAGTTTTGTGCAGCATAACAGTTTATGAAGTAGCAATGTCGTTGCAAGTGTGTCAGTGCGTCGGTATAATCTTATGGGCATATAATCTGTCGTTATATTCACAAGAATGTTGTGTCTTGTGTGAAAAATTACACTACCTAGTGGACACTAGAGGAATAAAAAATAATCGGCAGAGAAGCAATGCAATGGTCACATGTGTCTGTGTGCTGCAGTCAGCAATAAAGTTATGCTGCCACCACGGTCTGCTTCTTATAAACACCAGAAACACTACATCTGTTTTTCCTTACTGTGCGCTCAACTTGTCAATCAGACAAAAAATAGAAAAAGAAAAAAGCATCTCTGCTTCGTACAAAGACATCCATTTATCAAGTCTGCAGACTGTCCTAAAAGTTGTTTTTATACTTACAAGAAAATCTGTCTACTAAAGAGAAAAATCAGGTTTTCATGTTAAACAATAAATTTTATTCTCAGGATCCACTGTTTGCCTCTGACTGACTAACATATTTCCTTTATATACGCAGTCTAATCTTTTTAAATGATTATTTGCCTTCTTTCTGCTCGGTTTCTCTGACACCACATCAAATGGATCCAACTCTGTCTTGACATCATTAGACTTTTGTCTATCCTCCGTAGCTCTTCTTTCTCAGCCTTTGCTTTAATCTTGTGAAAAAAATGTCCTTCCCCATGCTATTGTTTCCCCAACAGTTTATGCCTAATAATCAAAAACATCAAGTGACTCCTCTCTGTGGGTTCGCCTCTGACCACAGACCCCCCCAATCATATGACATTAACAGCAAACTGTCTTTCTACATCTCTTGTTGGTCTTGTGACGTGGAAATGTTCTGCCTGAAATGCCCACTTAGCTTCTCAGACTGAACTGAGTGCAGTTTCTTGTTCACACACAGGGTGCCACTGAAATCCCTTTGAAGGTAACCTGTTTAGCCTCTGCTACATTTACCTCGGTCTTTGGGTCGACCCTGAACTGCCCGCACATTTATACGCCGCTAAGCTCACTTTATTACTCCCTGTGCTGTTTTCTAATTCTAGTTGGGTCTTTGTAGCAAATTCTTCTATCTAAGGTTAGAGTGGGGTGACCTGTGATCTTCACACTCACCTTCATTTTGAGTGCCATGGATGTTGGAGTGGTTTTGTCCACCCCAACATTCGTGACTCCTACTTCCAAGTCAGTCGCTGTTTCTCCTAGCTCCTAGC